GATGTATAGTGAATATTAATAACCTGTCTTTGAAGAAAAAGGGTCTAGAAAACCAGTAGAATCAGTGAGTGGGCTGGGCTGTTGAGTGGAGAGCACTAACTTAGATCCCAGAGTCTTGCACACTCTAAGTTAGTGCTCTCCACTGAACAGCCCAGCCCACTCACTGATTCTATTGGTTTTCTAGACACTTTTTTCTTCAAAGACAGGGTATTAATATTAACTATATCTCTGGATAGCCTGGAGTCTACTCTGCAGACCAGGCTGCCTAAAACTCAAAGAGATCCACCTGCTTCCCAAATGCCGGGATTAAAGGCGTGCCCCACCACGCCTGGCTTGCACCCAACTCTTAAAGTGGATTCTAAGGATCTAAACTCAAATGCTCATGCTTGCAAGATAAGAAGTTTACCAATGAGGTCATCTCTCTAGCCCCCCATTTTTTTTTAAATTTACATTTATTTATGTTGTGGGGCAGGGGCACATGTGTGTCTTGACCTGTACGATTCAGAAGAGGGCACTTAGGAGAATCTGTTCTCTCCCTCCACCACATAGGTCCTGGGGATAAAACTCAAGTATCAGACTCAGTGACAAGCACTTTTACCTGCTACACTGTCTTGTCAAAACCCCCTCAAAAAAAAAAAAGAAACAAAAAACAAAAAAAACCCTTTTTAAAAGAAGGTAAGGAGTCCACAACGTAAAACAAAAGTGGCTTAAGCCTATAATGCTAGCACCGGAGAGGCTGAGGTTGGGACTGGGAAGAGCTACAAACGAGCCCTAGTCTCTAAATAGACACACATTGCAGCTCTTGTGTACTCAAGAAGCCTAGGCAGTAGAATGGTCTCAAGTTTGAGGCCAGCCTGGGCTACACAGAAAGTCCCTGTCTAATAAAGATAAATAGGGCTGGGAAGATAACTCAATGGGTTAAGGCTCTTGCTGCCAAGCCTGACAACCTGAGTTTGATCTCTGGGACCCATAGGATGGTATGAGAGCCCCAGTGGCTGCAAGTTGTCCTCTGACTTCTACTTCCTTGTTAGACTCCATGTATATACACATTCGGAATAAAAATATAGATAAAAACACAAATCTACTTTTAAAAATGGGAATAGGGGCTGGGAAGATAACTCAGTGAGAGCCTAAGTTCGAATCCTCAGCACCAAGGTAAAAAAGCCTGGAGGGCTGCACATGCCTGTGACCACAGCACTGGGGGCAGAGGCAGATGGATCCCGAGACTTCAATGGCCGGGTGAACAGCTACACAAAATGACGAGCTTCCAGTTCGGTGAGAAGTTCTGGCTCAAGGCAATCAGGCAAAGCCATGAAGAAACCACCCCACATCCAACATCCTTCTCTGGCCTTCACAGATGTGGGCATGCTCCCACACTCAATGGCATGCCCGCTGTCCCCCCACAGACACCAAAATAAACACACACACACACACACACACACACACACACACACACAAATATGGGTCAGTGATAGGTCAGCAGGTAAAGCTGAGGCTGTTAAGCCTGATAAACCTGAGTCTGATGCTGGGATCCACATGGTGGAAGGAAAGCAAAGACTCCAGAAAGCTGTTTTTGAACTTTCATACCCATGCCATGGAGTTTCCTGGTTTATGTGTGGTTTACACACACACACACACACACACACACACACACACACACATACACACTGAATCAATGGATGGATGGATGGATAGATGGATGGATGGATGGATAAAAAGGGTCTAGTTAGTCCGTTGATGGTGGCGTGTGCCTTTAGTTGTCCTCTGACTTCTACTTCCTTGTTAGACTCCATGTATATACACATACGGAATAAAAATATAGATAAATAAACAGACAAATCTACTTTTAAAAATGGGAATAGGGGCTGGGACGATAACTCAGTGAGAGCCTAAGTTCGAATCCCCAGCACCCAGGTAAAAAAGCCTGGAGGGCTTCACATGCCTGTGACCACAGCACTGGGGGCAGAGGCAGATGGATCCCGAGACTTCAATGGCCGGGTGAACAGCTACACAAAATGACGAGCTTCCAGTTCGGTGAGAAGTTCTGGCTCAAGGCAATCAGGCAAAGCCATAGAAGAAACCACCCCACATCCTACATCCTTCTCTAGCCTTCACAGATGTGGGCATGCACCCACACTCAAGGGTATGCCCGCTGTCCCCCCCCCCCCCACCGCCCCACACACAACACCCACACCAAAATAAACACACACACACACACACACACACACACACACACACAAATATGGGTCAGTGATAGGTCAGCAGGTAAAGCTGAGGCTGTTAAGCCTGATAAACCTGAGTCTGATGCTGGGATCCACATGGTGGAAGGAAAGCAAAGACTCCAGAAAGCTGTTTTTGAACTTTCATACCCATGCCATGGAAAACACAACCATGCACACACACACACACACACACACACACACACACACACACACACACACACACACACACGATGGATGGATGGATGGAAGGATGGATGGATGGATGGATAAAAAGGGTCTAGTTAGTCCGTTGATGGTGGCGTGTGCCTTTAATCCCTGTACCTGGGAGGCAGAGGCAGGAGGATCTCTGTGAGTTGGAGACCAGCCTGATCTACAGAGGGAGTTGCAGGACAGCCAATGCTGTTACACAGAGAAACCTGTCTCAAAAAAACCAAAAAACAAAACAAAACAAAAAGGGCAGGGGGGAAGTCTGGTAATGATAGTCCTAGCCCAGCATGCATGAAGACCTGGGCTCTATTCCCAGCACTACATAAACTACATGTGGTGATGTATACCTAAGATCCTAGCACTGGAGAGGTAGAAGCAGAAGGATCAGAAACACAAGTTACAAAGCAAGTTCAAAGCTAGCCTGAGCTACAGAAAGCCTCATCTCAAAAACCTAACTACCTAATACAAAATGAAAATTTAAAGAGTGATTACCTGAAAGGTACCAGAAATTTGAGACTTCAACATAAGAAAAGATCAAAGGAAAAACCAGACTTGAAGGAGTAGAAATTTGAGACTTCAGCATAAGAAAAGATCAAAGGAAAAACAAGACTTGAAGGAGGATGTGGAGGGGCAGGAAAGATGGTATTCTAGCAGGGAGAAGAAGCTGTCGAGATGGCTCAGCAGGTCTGAGCACTCACTGTTCTGTCAGGAGACTAGAGTTCAGATCCCACACCCACACTGGGCTGCCCACAAGTGCCAGTAACTTTAGCTCCAAGGGATCCTACACTTCCTGCTGGCCTCCATGGGCATCCAGATACTCAAAGAAAATAAAGCTGGGTATAGTGGGGCACTTCTTTAATCTCAGTACTTGGGAAGCAGAGGTAGGCAGATCTTTGTGAGTTCAAGGCCACCCAGGCCTACATAGTAAATTCCAGAACAGCCAGGCAACATAGTGAGACCCTGTTACAAAAAAATAATAAAATAAAACAAATCCTTTGTGTAAAAAGTTAGTGATGAGGGCTATGGAGATGGCTCAGAGGTTAAGAGCACTGCCTGCTCTTCCAGAAGACCTGAGTTCAATTTTCAGCAACCACATGGTGGTTCACTAACATCTGTAATGGATCTCATGTCTTCTTCTGGTGTGCAGGAATGCATGCAGGTAGAACACGATATATATCAAATAAATATTTTTCTAAAAGTCAGTGATGGATAGAGGGGAAAGATGGCAGATGTTGGGGAGTTCAGTGCCTCCTTGTATTGCACTGGCCTCTCTACTGCCACCTGCTGAATTTAGCAAACTCTGCACGGAACCATCTATCTGCACTGCCAAATCACACTTCCATCTTTCTTCAAATCCATTAGCAGCATGTCAGCCCTCAGAGTCACACTCTAATTTATCTCATTCTGTTCTCAGGTCTACATACTATAATTACATATCTGATTCATACTACATGAAGCTGCACTGCCTTGAAATGTCAGGTTAAGGAATAAGGGCGACGAATTCTTAAGACTGCTTCCTGCTGACGTGGGAGGCGTTGACCATCTTTTGGAGACCTGAGAGGGTTGGGGTGCTCCACGTCCTGGGGTAGCTGGTTGTTTCATTGCATTCCAGGCTGTACAGAATTCCCTGATGCCTCTTAGATCTGTTTGTTTGGATCCAATTCAGCTCCCTGGAACTTACAAGAATCCTTAGAGTTTGTGGAAACATAAGTATTAGACACATTAGCAGAATATTCATGTTAGAAGCAACTTGGCTGAAAGCATTACCATTTTAAAATTGACAGATTTTTTTAGGACAATGAAAAGCATCTTAATCTTGACCTCGTAGTTATGATCGTATAGTGGTACTGTTGAACTTTACAATGAACAGTAGCATGAGAAATAGAGAAATCAGGAACATATTTCATTCTTTTTTTAAATGTCTCAACTCACTTTATCACCACTTAAGCCTTTTTATCCTCAGACCGTTATAACTTCAATTTTGCCTCTGTTTTTCCAAGTGATGGCAATATAGATATTTGACACCACACCTGCCCTTAAATTTTTGTTTTTAAATTATGGTACTGTGTCTGCTTAAGTTACTCATGCTGGACTTGAACTTGCTCTGTGACCAGAGCAGGCCTGAGTTTTAGGTTCTCCTGTGTTGCTGTCTGCAGATTCTGGTTTGAATTTGACTACATATATTTGACTCCTCCCAGCTTTTTCTCCCAGACATAGTTCTTTCAGTAAACTAACATCCCTATATCCACCTGTCTACCTGACATCTCTCTGCTTGCTCCATGGAGTCTCTTAGCACATTAGCCTTGCTCAAGACTCCTCTTTCTCATTCTACATCAGGTTTGTCAGTAAACCCTGATGATTTTTGTCTTCAGGATATATCCACTTCCTTAGCTTGGAACATACTCCTGTTAGAGCCCTGGAATCACTGTGGGAGCATCATCATTTACTGTTCTCTAATGTCTGTAATCCATTCGACAGCTAGTGATCAGTGACACCCTGTTGGGTCCACCTCTGCTGACAGTCTGACCAGAAGCTAGGGAGGTGATGAGAGATATCAGTTGGTGAAATACATGCTTTGGAAGCAAGAGCCCCTGACCTCAATACACAGCTGCTTGTAATCCCACAACTAGGGGGTTGAAGAAAGATTTCCTGGTCTACATAGTGAGTTCCAATCAGCTAGAGCTACACAGAGAAACCCTGTCTCAATAAACAAACCCAACAAAGGCACTTGTTTTTTCAGAGAGATGAGAATTTGGTTCCAAGTATTCACATGCCAGATCACTGGTACCTGTAACTCCAATGCCAAGGGATCATATGCCCTCTTCTGACCTCTTTGGGCACCAGGGACACTTGTGCAAACACATAAAATAGTATATAGAAGTCTAAAACAAAATTTTAAAAAACCAACAACAAAACATGGATCTCGGGGACATGCTCTGTGTACTCTCCTGAGCTATGTGTACCCTTAGTCCAATTCTGTTGCAAATGACATGTTATATAATATTTCAACTCCTTTGGCTTGTTAGACTCTTCCAGGGGCTTTGCCAGCTATGTGTGGTGTTTCAAAAGTCAACCAGTTGTGTTGGCCCGTGACTTTAAATTCCACCACTAAGGAAGCAGAGGCAGACAGACTTCTGTGACATTGAGCAAGTTCCAAGCCAGGCAAGGTTACATGGTCAGATGCTTGTCTCTCAAAAAAAACAAAAAACAAAAACAAAAACACCAAGAGTTCAATGTTAGACAGTGTGGTCCATGCTTGTAATTCTAACACTTGGGAGGTAGAGACAGATGAGCCAGGAATTCCCAGGTCATCCTTGACTATGTAAGTCATTGTTGTGGAACAGAATATTTGTTTAACTATGTAAAGATGTGTTACATTTGTATGTGTTGCAGAATAATTGTTTATCTAAAAATGTGTTGCATTTATTTTACTATGTAAAGATAGGATACTGTTTCACCTTGCCTGCCTAAGGCACTTGATTGGTCTAATAAAAAGCTGAATGGCCAATAGCTACGCAGAGGAGGGATAAGTGAGTCTGGGGTGCAGAGAGCGACAAGGCCAGCCAGACAAGAGGGAAGCAGGATGGACAGTATGTAGATGAGATAAACAGCCTCAGGGCAGCACGTAGACTAATAGAAATGGGTTAATTTCAATTAAAAAGCTGAGTAGAAACAAGCCTAAAGCTAAGGCCATAATTAATAGTAAGATTATGTCATGATTTGGGCGCTGGCAGTCCCAAGAAAGCCTGCTGCTCCAAGTCCATAACTTCACATGTATATATTGGTTGATTAGAGACCAAATACCACTGCCTAGCCTTGGGGCCTTCCCAGTTGGATGTACTTTTCCTTTGTGGTCCTATGGTCCTATTTCTGGCTCTGGCTTCTTAATGCCCAACAGTAATATTATTAAAATCCTTTTCTAGGATATGAGACACACACTTCCTCCCAAATTGCCATCCAAAGCCTCATCACCCTCTGCAGTAATCCAAGTGCTTGTGGTGCACCCTGCCTCCACCATGGTTTTAGTTTTAGTACATGATGTAGCTCTTTTGTGCAAGAGGCATAGTGGGGAAGAAGGGAAGGTTAGGACGCGAACTGCCTGCTATGGGCACATCAACTTTTCTGTCCCGGTTTGACCTGGGTACAGGGATAGTGCCCACTT